CCTGCTGAGGATTAGCAGAATTCCAGAGAAGGAAATCTTCCAGAGCTGCTGCTGCTGATGATTTTATATTAGTCTTCTCCATTGCTTTTCTTCTAAGAGCAGTAAGCACTTTAAAGACATTAACAAATGTCACTGAAATTTTCTGGGAGAGATGTTGATATCATCCCCTAAAACACGGGTGGACTGTGCCCAGGCAAATGCTCTTCTGTAGGACAGGATGATAGGATTTTCCCATCTTTGTAACCTTTTTATGGATGAGACAGGATGAGGTTGGGTGACTTGCCTAGAGGTCACACAGCAAAAGAGTGGCTTAGCTGAATATATTGAGCGCTCAAATCCTCGTTCTTTATTCTTTCCTGTGGATCATGTGGCCAAGAGAACGGATGAATGATACGGCCAGGATTCCTATGTCCACCCTGTGTCCACAAGTTTTGGGAGAAGCTGGGTTGTTATTCTTGAGGCTAATATGTCCATGGCTCTGTAAACATAATATAGCTTCAAAACAGGGCGCGCATCCTGGTACTTGCTATTCCGCGTTTTCTGTCTCCACATCACTGTCATCTGTGAGAGGGAAATCTCTCAGTGATTTCTGTGTGCTGTGGCTTTTGGTTTGCATGGGGCATTCCTGGCTTAAAATTGCCTGTGTAAAGGAGAGAAAAAAATCATGCTTTGGAAAAAAATGGTAGTTAATTTTAATAGTGCATGTGAACATTACCACTTTGAGAGAAATCCAAAGTAGTTAACAATTTTTGCACAGGGAATACAACCTGCGAGTTAGGGGAAGGACTATAGCTCCAGACTTTTCTGATTGTTATTGTCTGTTTTCTGTCCCTTTGTTGAGGGAAGAGTAGAGCCCAAAAGGGAAAGCACAATCCTAGGCAAATTTATTCTAGTTCCACAAATGATTTCTGGATTATCAAGACCCTATACTTTAAGGATAGACTCACAATCTTCTCCTCTTTAGCAGGTGGGCTGCGCAGGTGCCAGCAAAGAGGAGCATAAGCAATATTGATAACTCCAATGATGACCATCAGCCAAGGAAACCCGATAGCTCGTACAATTGCACCTCCTGTGGATGGACCTGTACATTTAAAAATTAAAAATGGCTAAGATGACAGAAAGAGAGCAAAAGGTGCCTTTCCAGTTTGGAGAGGCTCTATAAATAAATCTGTGATCACTGGATTGCAGACTAGTGCTAGTGCAGTGCTAGTTGCTTCCTGTGAACACTGGATAGAGAAGAGGGGACGATAAACTGAGTGAAGATCTACGCTGTGTAGGTTGTCATATGGGTAAGAGTTAGTCCATACCGATAGCAAAGCCCATGCAGAAGGCGACATCAGCTATGGCGTAGACGCTGCCATAGACAGAGGTGTGGCGAAGGTCCACCAGGTAACCCATAACAGGCATCATTGAGGAGTCCACCATTCCTGCCCCAAAGCAAGAACAACTTGATCAGTCATTGCCTTCCCCAAGGGTGGTGATGGGAGCTGTGTTTGAACTGTGCTGTCCAGACTGAGCACTGACACCTTACCTATGGCAAAGCCAAGCCCACCATTTGGGGCAATCAGCCCATAAATATTTTTTGCCAGAGGTACCTTTGAGAGGAAAGAGAGAACATGTGAATGAGGCCGGAAGAACTGAGTTGTGGAAAGTCCTTTGAGGTGTAATATAGATCTGTGAAACAGATGCACAGTGCCACTGGACATCTGCTAACTGCTAGACATGTAACCCAGTTTCAGAGCCCACGATTCAACCTCACAGCACGATTATCAGAGGCCTTGGTGCAAGGAGAGAAGCTTCCGTATTTCTCCTTTGCAGCCTCGTACCCATTGCCTTCACTGTATCTCAGCATCTGTACTACTGCTAGAGATGCAGAGAGGGACCCTGGGGCGTTTCCTATAGGCTGAATGCGTTAACTCTAATCCGCAATACCCGCTGCTTATCCTGTCTCAGGTCCTGCAGAGCAGGCACCGCTTGTTAAGCTATTGTTGCATGGAAGAAAATCCTGTATGACCTGAACTGCTGTGCATAAGAGAAGTTTGTAAATGCTGGGGGCTTTACTCTCCTGTCTCTGCAGAAGGGACCGCATCACCCACGTTACCCCTGCTGATCCTGCGACAGAAGGATCTCGGAGCTCTCTTACGACTTACGCAAAGGAGACTAATTCCCACCACGACCATTCCGATGAGAGAGCAGAGCCACCTGCAATGAGGCCACAGTTAGGAAAGGGAAGACGTTCACAGCAGCATGAACGTAAGTCACGCTGAAAACACAAGACCAGGCTGTTCTGAAATCCCTATTTTCCACTTACCGCCCCATTTTGTGAGCCAGAACCCCAAAGAGATTGGTGCCAATGAGGTAAGATATACTAGCAGGAAGGAATGCCATCCCTGAGAGAGAGAGGAAAAAAAAAAAGAGTGTATAATCCTTAAATACAAGGGATCATCAAGAATTTGCAAAAGCGTTCGCTAACTGCCACTTTAGGAGGGTTCGTTTGGAGAATATTGGCATGTGAACCAGACAAGGCAAACCAACGTCCAGCGCACACGCTGTGGGTGCCCTTCAAATGCAATGGTGCTTCTCTTTTTCCTCTATGACCATTGCTACATATCTGTGTTACAGCAGAGCTGCTCTAGCTGCCTTGTTGCTCTGGGTCCTGTACAAACATGGGGTGGCATCCCTATATAAAGACAGAGGGAGACATAGAAGGAAGTGTGTTTGCTTATCGCAGAGGTGAGAAACTGAGGCACACAGAGATGCAGTTATTCACCCAGAAGATCTGTGAGACAACCAGAAACTAAAGCCAGAACTTTTTGTTCCCACTGCTTTAATAAGTTCATTCTTTTCTTCTGGCACAGTTTCTTCCTCTTCCACCTTTTTCCCTTTGCCTCCATCTTTTAGCTCACAAAAGGAGGAGGAACGTAACTGCTTAAATAAAAAGCTTAGGGATCATTATGTAGTCAAAATTAAATATTTGAACTGCCTGCTGATTTTCCAGTTGTTTATTTTTAATATACTCTCCCAGAGGCTATAAAGAAAGCTGATCAGCTCTATTTCACTAAGACAACTTCCTTATTGAAACACACCAATTTATGATTAATTTTCTTTCCTCTCTTTAACAGCTATAAAACAGAGTTAATCCTGTGTGTTTAGTCCAAGCTCTTTTGGTTTCTTCCAGAATTATGGGAGTGGGCAAACTGAAGCATGCAAATAAAGAAGCCCCTAGAGTTTATAATTGCTTTTTAGGTTGATGACTTTCGATGGAATTGTATCTAAATCCAAACTGTTCCCAAATCTGAGCTACCTAAAAATCTAGTGAGTTTATCTGGGATTTTCTTTGATGTCTGCTAACCTCTTGTTCCCCCATCTGTCACTTCACCTCCTGCTAAGTCACAGCAAAGATCCCCTTTGAGTTCGGTGGTGACCAGGGTAGCTTTGAGGGCGTTTCTCAGCCTATAACTATTGTAGCTATACGACAGGAAAGCTGTCCCTTCTCCCTGCTGCCAGAAGGCTTAGGAGTCTGCTTTGCCCTCACCCATCCTTGCTCGGTCACTTGCTCATGTGAAGCATCAGGGACTCTTATCTGGATGGATGCTTCTGCCTGCCTGAAGAATAACTCGATTAGTAGCTTTCTCAGCCCTGCTGCTCCCAGGTTGGAATTCAATTTGGGAACTAAGTGTAGCCTGGGGCATCCCCCAGATCATTCCTCAGCCAATTGGATTTTTTAACAATTAGTTTTATTTTTGTATCAAACACAGACAATGCTATCTCCATATCACATTTCCTAGGCAGATGGTAATTAGTATGTGCCATCCTGCCCTCCCTGCGACTCTCTAAATGGCCTTAGTTTACTTAAAGCTGCCTATGCAAAATCCATCTGGCCAGCCATGATTTTACCCCAGCACAATATGATTATCTGCCCGGCAGGATGCAGGATTCAACAGGCTTGCCTTGCATGAAGCAGCCTTTCTTCCAGTGTTATTGCTGTTGTGGGGAGTCTAATCCTACACAATTTCTGCAATAATAGAGAGAAAGCACATTGTATAGCAACCGCTAAGGATGTTTCCAGCTGAAATTGGAGCAATGCACAGCCTGGGACCACTCAGTCTGTGCAGGTGACAGTATATGTTTATTGGCTTTTAGAAAGATAGAAAATAGGACTGAAGAAATCATTTAATCCCTCTCTCAGTGCCAAAGCATGACCTATTCTAGCTAACCAGTATTGAGCAGTCATTCACAAGTGAAGACTGCAAAGCAAGGCACCTACCTAGCTGCCATTTTGGGGAGCACATGGTTTGCATCATCCAGATGGGCAAGGTGGGTTCGAGCATGGCCACCCCCATGTTAGCAAAGCAGAGCGCTCCTGATGGGGAGAAAAAAGAGAAATGCTCTACTTGAGCCTTCCCCTGCTGCTATTTCAAATACAGCAGATGCCGCAAGTAAGTCTCTTTAATCAGCAGACACAGGTGCCCAAAGAGAAGCACAGTGGCATGCTGACATCTGCTTTTACCTGCAGCAACCAGGATGTAGGGGTCTCGCAGCAAGGTAAATACTGGTGTGCCTTTGGTGCTCTGTGTGACAGGAAAGGGAGGGAGTGGTTTACAACGGAGGCAATCAGAGAAGGAAAGTGTGAATGCCAAGCGTGCTGCGCCAGGCTGCGCGCTCGCTCATGCGCGTTCAGATCCATACTCAGTGTGAAGCAGGCAGCCTTCCCCTCTGGGGAATCCAGGCCTGTTTTGTTCTCACTATCTGGCACGAGATCACATGCGTGCGCACATTTGTACTTACCTCAGGGAAGATCTTAGAGGGCTGCAGTATGCAAAGCTGTAAAGCTACAGAAAAAACAGTGTTGTTTACTTACTTCTTGAGATGGCATCACTTCAATCCACATTTTCCTCTGGCTTTTCCTTCAGTAGGACGCCTTTCATTGACAGAGACCCCAGGGACGCAGTGAATGTGCCAGTGGGACATCATTCAAACGGGCAAGGAGAGAGTTAGGTCCCAGGTCTGCTTCCACTGAAGTTGGCAGCAAAATTCCCATTGACTTAAGTGGAAGCAGGAGCCAGCGATTGTGTTTGAGCTGCTTTATCAAGGCATGAAGCAGGCAAAGATGCAAATGCTCTCTGTCAGGCTGCTGGTTGCCTGCTAGGGAGCCACAACTAGAGCATGACAGAAATTAGACGTGGAAAAGAATAAGATTAAAAAAAAATGTTCCAAATGTAGGGGATCTATGTTTCATTTTCCAAAGGCTCTTACATGCTTCATTAAAGATGTCTTACTTTACGTCTAGGCAAAGATGGTAACTGTGACTATAATTAAATTAGCTTAATAATTCCCTCTAAAAATGCACATTTCCACTGTCTGTAACTTTGCCATTACACTCTGAAAGCTATCATGATCTGCATTTATAATACAGCTATCTGGGAATGAACAAGAACCCCCATTTACGCTGGCAAAGACTAATTCATATGTGGCTATGGTGAAGAGACTGCAGAAAGTACTAATCTGCCTTTTCAAAGACTATTCAGTTCAAAGAGCTTTACTGAACAAGTTATTCAACCTTAATAAAGCAATCAAGTAGTTTATTAAGTAATGAGGGACTGATTCTTAGTATGTTACTGTGTCAGGCATCTGGTGATAGAAAATATATAATTTAGCAGTAACAGAATAATTGATACTGATGATATCACCTGTTTCATATTAATCTGCCTCTTCTTTCACACAAGTGCTGAGAGCTTGTTCCTCAGAGAGACATATTTAAATCTTTTCATGAGCATTTTTTTGCGGTTGGATTAGACCATTTGGCTTCTCACCTCCATCCAGCAGGGCTAAGAATGCCAGGATCAGGAAGGGAGACGATTTCCCAACAAACTCGTACATCACGCTTCCAAAGGGGGCCCCAACTGCAAGGGAAAGGCTTTGTCACACAGCAGCAGTGCTGGATTCCTGCCACGAACATCCAGGCAGCAGGCACTAGGATCCTGGCATCATGTTTTTTTCTGAATCCCCCTGCTTGCATGTAATGATGAGTCATATTAAAGCAGCTGCCTGTTGAGTGATAGTCCCAGGAGAAGGTGTCAGAACCAGTAGGCTGTGGCTGTGGAGAGTGAGCAGAGGATGGGAATGAGAAAGGTAGGTGGAAGGGCCAGCGATGCCTTTGGAGCTGCAAGCTGGGGAAGGGGCACAGCCAAGCTTACTGAAAGCAGGAAGTGATGGCCAGCAAGGAATCGGAGATGCCATTGGTGTAAACCCTGTTGGGAACAAGGTTTACTTACTCAGCACACCTAAGGCCAGGCCTCCTAGGGCGATCCCCATTGCGTTGCCTCTCTCAGAGTCATCCGTATACACGCTGGCCAGCATGCCCAAGCCTGGGAGCAGAGAGAAAGCAGAAGCTACGTGAGTCTGGCTTGTGGCGTGCTGTTGGGCACCTGTCTGAAACCAACCCAGGCATTTCTTGTGGATTTCTCTGCTTGTCAGGTAGGCTGCGTTCAGCGTGCTCTGTCTGCACGAGCCAGGCAGGTGCAGTGAGGAGGAGGAATTCGAAGCCATGGCAGTCTCCTGGCACGTCCGAGCTGCTGATCGTTTGTGAAACAGCAGTTGAAGCCGGACAAGGAGAGCTGAAAAGGACACTAAGGTCTAGGGCAGAAGTCGAAACTGAGTGTATCATCATGCAATGAGCTAAAACATTTACCTGCGACTGATGAAAACGATGAGCCAATGCCTTGGAGTGCTCGAGAAATGAACAGCAAGGTATAGGTGCCTGAGAAAGCAAACACTAAGAAGAAGAGAAACACAGCATCAGGCAGAATTGCACGTGGTTCAGGTTTGAGTTAAACCCTCATTGACCCTAAACCTCCCTTGATGTTGACAAACCTAGAAGCTGACTGGGGGCTGCCATCTTCCCTTCCCCTATGTGAAAGGAAGTTATCAGCCTCAAAGAGAGAAGGCTTTCCTTCTTAGAGCCTTTAAATAACGGCCACAGAGCCCAGGCTCGCCGAGAGGTCCAAAGGGTGAGCAGTGGCCTCAGCCTACACCTGGCTCGGACGTGGTATGATACTGGATGCCGCTTAGCCTTTCCTGTTACCTGTTTCTGAGATCAGTTGTCCTGCTCTCACTCTTTACTCATCTTACACAGGAGGACAGTGGGGCAGCCATAGACCGGGTATATTTTGTCCTGGGCTGCTCTTACCTCAGGTTAGTGCCTGGGTCCCTGGCCTGCATGCTGCTGTGATATGAAAGGCAGACCGAAGGGAAATACTCACTGACTGTGGAGAGAAACATGATGACGAATCCAATGAACATGGGGATGTGGTATCCTATCCTAGAAAGGGAAAAAAGGCAAGATCTCAAAGAAAATTCCTCAGATCAGGTTAAGATCTGGATCTTGCTACTCAGCCTTAACACAGCTGCCTCTGCAGGCCTGTAAGCATGTCCTGAATGTGTATATGGGGAAATATATTTAGTACACGTGTGCCTGTGTGCATTTAAGTATGTTCATGGGGTGTTTGTGTCAGTCGGTATCTTTTTGTGAGTATGGCTTGCATATGCATGCCGTGCACTTAAGTTATAGTTGTACATGGAAACGTGAGTGACTACAGTGTGGATGTACCTGTGAGTGTTGGAAGCCTCCAGTGCAATATTGTCAAACACACGCAGAGACACAGCTCTGCTTTGCCATCTCATCTGCCCTGCCAGACCAAGTAGAACCAAGCCTAGCTCCGCCTCACACATGTCTCTTAGAGGCAAAGGCAAAGAAAAGCTCGGGGACAGAAAATCTGAACAATAGCTACTGTATAGATACTGTATTCAGAGCAGGGTGGAAATGTCGTTTGCTTGCAAATATTTATTTGTTTATTTGACAGTTAATGGTATTAAATAGCATCAGTCCACACCTGAAAAGATCATTAATGAGGCTTATTTTTTAATGCAAACCTGCAAATCATTCATAGATTTTTTAGAAAGGTAAAATTCATAGCTTTTTGATGCATATATTCTCCCCCTTGCTATTCTACTCACCGCTTCCTATACTTGTGTGATTGCAGTGGCTTCGTATGTGTAGCACAGACCGTTACTGCTCAGCTAAGAGTGCTTGCATTAGCAGGAAGCATTTGGCTAGTGTCCTTGAAAGGCTAAGACCTGTTACGATACTAGGCATGCTAAGCGACTCTCTGATATACCTGTTGGTCAGGGGACCCACAAATGGATTGACCATGAGCTGTATGAGAGCCTTGGAGGCAAACAGCAGCCCCACACGGACATTTTCGTTGGTGAGGAACTCCTCGCCCTCCAGGCAGCTGCTTTCTGGTGGTGGACTGGTGTCAGGGAGCTGAGGCAAGCTGCTGCTTTCAGTCATGTTCGCCTGCTCCGTGGTGCTGTCGGCAGAGTAGTCCAAGACAGTCACTGTGGTGTTGTCAAAATAGGAGAACATGGAGGAGAAAGGAGGAGCCTTGTAGGCCAAAGGAGCAGACTCCATCTGGTCTGGGGCAGCAGAGCTGTTAGCACCTTCGTATTCAGTTGTATAAAGGAAGGTGGGGACAATAGGTACTGGAAAAAAAATCCAGGAGAGGGATTAGTTAGTGATTTTTGTCAGTTTTCTGGTTTGATGTACAACTGAACTGATCAGTACTGGCTAGATGTAGGCGTCCTGGAAACTCGCTGCTGCCAGCCCTCCCCATGGCTCTCATGGGGAGGGCTGCTGGGGCTCTTTCGGCTGGGCTGGAGACCAGCTGAAGTCATTCCCCTGATTGCAGGTACCTACAGTCTTGTGAAGCCACATTCCTGACAGGCAGCACGTACAACACAGCAGAAAACACACAACGTACCCACAACAGTGAGCAGCATGTTATCCAGCAGCAGCGCGACGAATACCACCACCAGCACCAGCGTCCGAGACTCCCTGCCCTCCTTCAGCCAGCGCCAGGGGACGTGCTCTGTGGGCTGGGGCATTGCTGGAAAGCCAGGTGGGCAGTTTCAGTCCTCGTGGCTCCTCGTCTGTCCCTCCTTTCGCTTAAGGTTGATGATCTCCTAGAACCTTTAAAGAACACTGCAAAAATGTCCAGTGGATACATACAGCTTCATCTCAGGCGGTGAAGGTAAAGGAAATCTTTCCATTCACTTCATAGACTGTTGTCTGTATCTCTAATCAGCTTGTATCTCTAATGAACTTGTATCTCTAAGAACTGTGTCTTATTTCAGAGGCTCTTTTGTCAGGGTAACAGAGCAGGGAAAGCCAGGAAGCTCATCGCAAGGTCCCAGGAGTCTTTTTCTGGGTTATGACCTCCCACAGCCAATGGCTTCTGCCTTGGGAAAGTGACTCCTGAGATCGGTTAGTGTCTATGTCCTGTAAGAGAAGAGTGCTATTCCCTGGGAGCTGGAACCACCAGCTTTGCTGCCAAAGAGAGTAGTTTTGTCCACCCTGCATTTAAAACGGTAGTCAGGAGATGGAGTACTCTATAACCCATTTCCAATCTCCTGAGACATCTTGTCCCTGCTTCAAGGCTTCGTTTAAATCTTCTTTCAAGGACTCAAAGCACAAATCAAGCCAGTAGCTTATCTATAGTAATCTCTAGATCTGATATTCCATGTTTGTTCTTTGGAGATTAAATTAGGTCTCAAAGGAAATTCATTTACCTTACATGTCTTTTCATTTGATCTAATTGAAATGTCATGGCCAGATACAGGACTTAAAAGCCTAACATATGTGATTGAGATCAGGGCTTAAGAGGGGCTGAGAAAGGTTGCTTGCTCAGTCACACTGAAAATATCAGCCACAAGTATGTTAAATTAGCCCTTTACATGCTAAAAGCTCATAGGTATTTCAGAGGCTAAGTGTCAAGAAGAAAGGAACAGAGC